TCAGCGGATTTGGGCTGTACTCAGCAAGCGCAGTACAGCTTCCAACTCGGATCTGAAAAAAAATTAGTGGATGGTTGTTTTCTGACTGGTCGGCAGACCGCCGACTGGTCGGCCCTACTGGTCAGCTGCAATACGGTCGGCGGTCGGGTTCGGCGGTCGGCAGGGATGCAACCATGAGGATTTCCCTCCATATCCGAAGCAGCGCCGTCCAGTATGGCGTGGGAGGTCTGGCTCCGTCTGTACCGACCCCTCTTCTTAGACATTTTCATGGATATATACTGCATGGAATTTTGTAAGTGACTAATAAGTGAGCTGTCAATTGGAACCCACCATGCCTCTGGATCCTTCTTGATTGTCTTTGTCACCATCGACCTCCTAGAGGCATCGGTACAGTGTGGTTTCTAAAGGTGTGCTTCACGGCCCACCCCTGCGCCCCAGGTAAGTATCGGGTGGCCAGCCCAGTCTGCACTATTCTTTTCCTTGCATGCAGTGCGATTCGGTTTCCCCACCGGTGTATCTTTGCACGTCGATTCCCCGTAGGGATGGGGCCTGCCCAACACCACCTCTACAGCGCAGCAAGATCATCAAAAGGACAAAGCAGCAATGTGTGTGTGCACCACTCCCATGGGTTGGCTCTCGCAGTGACCCGTGCTCCGACCAGGGCGCTTCAGAGGCACCGCCCTCTCCCACCAGCATGCTCCCCAGGAAGAATGTTGTATGTCAAGGAAGAGCGCTCATGACCCCTGACACAAGAGAAGACTCTCAACAAAGACACACTCCCTCATGGTAAGAAGCATTAAGGACGGTAGATAAGGTCCTAAACAGCATACCTCATTTGCTGCCCCCAACCACAGATTTCTCAGCAATTGAGCTGTTGTGCATTTTGATGACCGGTCATTGCATCTGCACCACCCACATTACAATGCATTAATGCCACGTCAACTAGCTCTCATCACACAGCATACACCCAATGTATTCCTGGCACTGCCCTCTCAACCCAGGGCCACCAACACCAAATTACCGGTGCCAATATCCACTATGCTGCAGACCGCCAAACGCGCCAAATAACTCCAGCACCGGCGCTCCACCAGCTCTGATACCAAATTGCAAGGAAAAAGAGCAAGTGTGAATGGCAGAAAACCAAAGGGCATCATCACATTGAAAGCCAGATAGTCGTGTGTCGAACAGAAAGCAGAATGCACCAAGTTACACAGTGATACACACCAAATAAAAGCACAGCAATGAGCTCAATTGTCAATGTCAGCCCCCATCTCGCCTCCACCAACCATTTATCCAAGGTCGCTCTTTGGCATGGCGGCTGACGCCCAATCTACCATCCTACAACACCTAGCCTAGCCTACACTAAGAGATGCAACCGGAAGCACTTCAGCAGCAGACCAATGTATATGATGACTTCGCCTATGCAGACCTCTACGATGCACCAGGTAAGAGCAAGTGCGAATGGCAGAAAACCAAATGGCATCATCACATTGAAAGCCAGATAGTTGTGTGTCGAGCAGAAAGCAGAATGCACCACCAAATAAGAGCACAGCAATGAGATCAATTGTCAATGTCAGCCCCCATCTCGCCTCCACCAACAATGTATTGCAAGGAAAAAGAGCAAGTGCGAGTGGCAGAAAACCAAATGGCATCATCACATTGAAAGCCAGATAGTTGTGTGTCGAACAGAAAGCAGAATGCACCAAGTTACACAGTGATACACACCAAATAAGAGCACAGCAATGAGCTCAATTGTCAAGGTCAGCCCCCATCTCGCCTCCACCAACAATGTATCCAAGGTCGCTCTTTGGCATGGCGGCTGGCGCCCAATCTACCATCCTACAGCACCTAGCCTAGCCTACACTAAAAGATGCAACCGGAAGCACTTCAGCAGCGGACCAATGTATATGATGACTTCGCCTATGCAGACCTCTACGATGCACCAGGTATGTCCCTTCACTCTCCCTGACTCATCCCTCGTCTGTCCCTTCACTCTCCCTGACTCATCCCTCGTCTGTCCCTTCACAGGCTCTCCTTCACTGCCCAGAACCACCACCAGCAGATGCGATGCAGAATCGCAGAAATTTTCTCTGTCAGAAATTGCTGGCTTCAGACCATTGGCAACTGCAAGCTGCCTGAGAATCCCGTGTTTAAACCAAAATAGAAAGGCTCCTCAGCCGACATGGTGCGGTTGATGGGCGATGGATGATGGAATCCACGTAATGACTGAATATTCAATGCCACCTGTCAGCCATACCACCAGCTGCCACTAACGCTGCCACTGTTACAAGCGGAGGCCGCCGGCAGGGCCAGTAGAGGGCTGCCAGTCTGCTTGGAACATAAGGCCTGTGGCAGTTGGAAGCCACCCACCGTCGGATCCTGATCATGACGGGTGGAGTCTGGCTCTGCAATTTTTCGTCAGGGCCGCCAGCCTTCAGTAAGGTTCGGCATGTCCAGGGTTCGTGTAGAGAGAGGTTCAACAAAGTAGGCTCAGCCAAACTGGTGGTTTAACCAGTATATTTGAGATGCTGACAAGATCAGATGATCCCTATCGAACATAATATAATGTAATGAAAGGTTACAATGGCCAGCAGCCATTTGATGTGGTCAGCCTTTGTGGACCTTAGTCCATGTCGTGAAGATTGGTTGCCTCAGCTTGCTTGGATTTGAGTCTGCAAGCCATTCCCACTTGCCTTACTCTGGGTGACGTTCTGTGGTGTATCCATGCTGCAGCAATTTGCTCCTGCGCGCTTGGCCCGTGTGGAGCTTAAGTCTAAGCATGAGCCACTTACACTTTTTGCTTCTACAAAGTTTGAGCATCCGAATCCGGCCAATTATGAGTGGAAGAGTTCCACTGAAGAAAATGGAGGACAAACAAGCCTGCGCTGGTCTTTTGGGAGAAACAAAGAGCTGGGACTGATCAGGTTGCCCCCTTGCATGTTCATTGGAGTGGGTGAGATGCCACTCTTTTCCCTGAATCATTACTACAATTGCTTCATCCTCTCCCCCCCCCCCCCCYTCTTCATCCCTATCACATCCCATCATGGCAGGTCATATCTCAGTGCCTCCAATGAACAGAATGGCCATTTGTTTTCTACCTCTTCTTGCATTTCTCCTTTCCTAGTGGCTATGACATTTTCTGCATCACACGAAATGGAAAGGTTCCCAAGGATAAGAAAAGAAGAATATCTTCACCAGCTCTAAGGGTTCCAAGGATCAGAAAACAAGGAATGTATTCACCAGGTCATTTTTTGTTTGTTTCTGTTTTTGCAAGTGCACAGGGGGCCAATTGGTGCAATGCGCCGTGCGGAACCCAATGATATGGCACAGTGCACCACACCGCACAGCACTGCAGAGCATGGTGCTGCATGGTGCAGCACGGGTCCCTTTCGTGTGGTGCACTTACCACGCGGAGCTGTGCACTAGTATGCGCACCATGCGCCGTTTGCAGAACATTGTAATGAACCCAGTCAGGAGGAAACACGTCAAGTGTCGAAATACAAGATGACTCAGTGCTGATAAATGTCTCCAATAATCGTGAAATGTGATCTGTAATACAATGTCTCGTAACCATAGGACGAAGAAGATAAGAGGGAGATTAGACTTGGAGGGTGGAAGAGGATGTATCCATCAATGTCCACGTAGACAGAACACCCTCAATCCCCACTCCTCCTTCGGGTGCCACATCATATCCATGTCAGCAAACAGTGTCCAAGAAACGAGCCTGACGATATCTGATCACAACATAATGCCACGTAGGCACAGATCTCCCACGAAGACGTCTCTGCAGCGCGCAATGTCGACAGCATCACAGGTAAGTTCACTCACTCAATCAATCCCACAGATCCTGATCTCCCTCCTTGTCACATCCCCAATCTGCGTTGAAGACAGTGTGGCATGCAAAGATGTCTTCGTGGGAGATATGTGCCTACGTGGCATTATGTTGTGATCAGATCTCGTCAGGCTCGTTTCTTGGACACTGTTTGCTGACGTGGATATGAGGTAGCGCCCGAAGGAGGAGTGGGGATTGAGGGTGTTCTGTCTTCGTCGCGATCTGTTGTTGCGAGCCGAGACGCGCCAAGGTAAGTACGGGGAAGTGCACGCTCAGATTGAATCGCGTCTATAGACGCGCGCGATTATAATCGCAATCTGGACATTTGACACGTGTGCGCACGTGTACCCGCTGAAGAAGATGTGGCATTGAGGTGGCGTTGGACGATCGAACGATCGATCGATCAATCGATCAATCGAGAGAGAGAGAGAGAGAGAGAGAGAGAGAGAGAGAGAGAGAGAGAGAGAGAGAGAGAGAGAGAGAGAGA